TTACTGAATTCAAAGGGAATTAGGGAATTGTACTAGGAGGATGGGAATTCAAGTGAGTTGTTTCTTTAAGTTTGGGGTCAGAATGTTTAGATATATTGGAATTATTGAAATCATCGTCTTTATATATTGTACAGTTAGAACAATGGCGTAAAGATCTGAGCAGATCTTTACATAGAAATAAACATAGAAATGGAATACACATAGAAATCTACCTGTACCTTACAGTAACACAAACAAATGATGCCACTACTATCAAAGAAAGAGGAACTCCCTCTTGTGAGTTGAAATAGCTTGTGAGGTGTAGTAAGTAAGGACCAATGTAGCCATTTCTTGGTATCATCTCATGTATGTGTAATGGGTTAATATATTCACAAAAAAATACATTTTGGAATATCACATTCCGACTGAAAGGATAGGGTGATGCATTTTAATAACAATCAAAATTTGTTAAATTAAAGAAAAGTGCCCACAGAGTTGTTTTGGTACATTTTTTTACCACAGCTGAACTATGAAAATTTTAGTTCATTTGATGGTGCCAGGTCACATTTTTTAATATCATCATTCCTGTCATTATATTTTCTGGTTATTTCTACATAGGATTATTATCATCAGTCATTTTGATGCTGGGGCACACCCTTCATTCATATTATCAGTGTAATCATATTTTTATGTTACTTGTTAAACACATTCAGGAGCTAGTTTCCATATGCATATATAGATATATGAATAGGTATATAAATGTGCAATACTGATAGATTGAGATTGATGTGTATATATAGACAGATAGATAGATTTATTCAATCTCTCTTTGTTTCTTTTTCTTTTTCTCTTTCATTCTTTTTCTTGCTTTCTTTCTCTCACTTCTCTTTCTCACTTCCTCTCTTTCTCTCTTCTCTCTCTTTCTCTCTTTCTCTATTTTCTTTCTCTCTTTCTCTATTTTCTTTCTCTCTTTCTCTCTTTCTCTCTTTCTCTCTTTCTCTCTTTCTCTCTTTCTCTCCTTCTCTCTTTCTCTCTTTCTCTCTTTCTCTCTTTCTCTCTTTCTCTCTCTCTCTTTCTCTCTTCTCTCTTTCTCTCTTTCTTCTCTCTTCTGCTCTTTCTCTCTTTCTCTCTTTCTCTCTTCTCTCTTT